CCTGTGTCCAGAAAAGCCCTGTGTCACACGTTCCACCCGAGACTGCTGCTCAGTCATTGCCCCTTCTCCAGGACACTCTTGTGCAGAGTCCCAGCTGGTGGAAAGCATCAGTGGCTGCAAATTACTGAAAAATGAAAACAAACATACTTATCCCAACAGCATACCATATCAAAAGGAATTTTGCTTTTACAGAATCCAGTAAACTACCCTCAATTGTACCTGCCAAGCAGAAGTGCGCCTTTGTAAGCAGAGGAATGAGGAAAGAGATTAGGGACACCTGACCTGAAGTTCAGGGCACAACTTTAGGGACCAGTTTCATTTTCTGCCACAGGAGTCAATAGTCTAAAAAGAGCTGAAGGAAAGTGACATTTATTGGATAATTCCTAGCTGTGTAACCTCAGACATGTTCTTTAACCTCTCTGTGCCTCCGTCCTTTTATCTGTAAAAGGGGAACAATCAGACTGCCTTTTAGGGTTTTGTGAGGATTAAATGAGTCCATCTCTGGAAAGTATCTGAAACATGTGCGGGACACTGTAACATGGTCGTGTTACCTCAGTACCTGCTATGATCACGTGCCAGCCCAGAGGCCGTGCACAGTCTCTGTTTCCCACCCCAGGAGACCACAGCTTCCAGGTTTCCTCAACACCCAGAGCGAGCCGGCCATTTAGGGGACCCATGGATCGCCTGGTTTTTGTTCCCTGGGGAGAGATGTCCCAGAACGAGCCCTTTCTCCTCTAGCCCGCATGCCAAGCACCTGCCTCTGGCTACCTGGTGGTAGAAAATGGCCCTGAGTTGGCATTCAGAAGACACTCAGAGTAGCAGCTGAGCGACCTTAATCTCTGGGCCTCAGAGTTCCTATCTGTAAATTAGAGATAATGATTGTTCTCCCCACGTACCCACATGCAGGGTGTTTATAAAGATCAAATGTGGAATCACTACAAGTTTTTCCTCAGTGTAAACACCCATGCTTCCAACCCCAAACTGCATTCTAATGCTCCGCTGAGGATGGAATGGATTAAAATAAACCAACCTCAGTGGGTGTGCAAGGGCCCTGGAGTTGCTCCCTAGCCCCGTGGAGTCGTGGGCTACCCCCACTGCCAGGCTGCTGCAGGGAGGGGGCCATTAGCCCAAGAGAACCCTTGAACTGCTGGAGACCTGGGATGAAGGGAGATGTCCCATCCCAGTTAGTTCCCAGGTTCCAGGAGGAAACAGGGATTCTGCTGAGATACCCTGCGTGCAGCGCCTAGCTCTGGCCCGGCACATAGCAGGTGCACAATGAATTTGCTTCCCCTACACACGTGTGAGCACATACACAACCACGTTCGGCCTCACCCCAGACTTTCCGCAAACGCCAAGCACCCACTATGTGCTGGGCACTGCACAAGTTTCAGGGGACCAGGCACGAGAGCTGGCCTCAGCCTCTGGGAGCTCCGAGGCTGGTGGTTGAGGCAGCCCTGAGCGCAGGAGAGAATTGGAGCCCTAACAGGGGTCCTGGGGAGGTGCTTCAGGGCCGGGGGTGATGGTGGATGGGCCTTGGGCTGATGGGAGAGCAGGCACAGCAGGAGGGGTCGGGAGCTCCAGGGTAGCTGTGGAAAGCAGGTTAGGAGGAGGCAGGGTCCTCGGGCAGCGTTTTCTTGTGCCACATCTGCTTGATTTATTCCTTTGGTGCCTGCGGGAGAGGCAAGACCTTGGCTGCCCACCCCTGCAGGTCTCCCCATAACTGGCACATGGTAATCCCAGCATGGGGCCCCTGTCGTGGAAGGAGAAGGCAGTGCAGCACTTTGTCCCAGATGACAGCACAGGTGGGCTGGAAGAATCTATAAGAGAGTCCTGCCCTCTGGGTTCCAGGGGAACATTCTAACCCATCAGAGTCCTCATGCGGCTGAAGGTTCTTCCAGAGGTGGCTTCCAGGTCTAACTCCAGGTACGGGGCCTGGGGTGCCAGCCATCACTTCTTCCCTCCTGCTGTCCGGTCACCCTTCTCCTCCAGCTTTGGGGGCAGGCAGTTGGTCCCCCTCCACTCCAGAGCTCCCTGCATGATGGCCCTGGGGTGTCAGATCGGAGTGGACAAGGGGAGGGTGGAAATGAACCCTCCTCAGTGGTCCTCCCATTAGGAGAGTGTCTGAAGCTAGGCCACCCCTTCACGTTGCCCAGAAGAATCAGCTCCTCATTGATGATGATGAAGCTTCAGTCCTCTCAGGAGCCACACATCTGCATGAAGAGTTGGGAGTCTGGATATGGGGGAGGGATAGCTCTGAGAGTTGAGCCCTGGGGGTTGGTGCCAATTTGAATTTTCCCTCAGAGCAGGCTTAGAACAAGGAACGTCTATCAGAGCACCAGCTACGTGCCTGGCACTGTGCCAGGCCCTTTGCATACATTCTCATCTAATCCTCACTACAACGTTAAGAGGTAGGCATTCTAGACCCATTTCACAGATGAGGAAACTGAAATACAGCGAGTTTAGTTACCCAGAGTCACACAGCCACCTGAGGGGAGTGGCCTCTGGTTCTACTGGAGGAACTGTCCTTTTCTGATTGAGGGTGTCTCAGCAAGCTCCTGGGGCCAGTGTAGATTCCGGCTGAATGACTGAGGCTGGACGGGGAGCTGCCACCCCAGGAACTGTGTGTGGAAGGCTGGCTTGGGGAGTGTGGCAGCTCTGTCACTGATGGGCTGGGGCTGTGGGTACCCCACCGCCAGTGGGGAGCTATGGAAGGGGTTTGCACAGGCCACCTCATTCCCATAGTCACCAGGACTAACCTGAAGTTAGTGGAGGTCCCCAAGCCTGAGCTTCCAGCGTGGGTGAAGGCTGCTTCCCAGCTGATGCACTTGGAAAAGCCCCTGCCTCTACCATGGCCACAGAGTGCTGTGTAATTTCCTCTGTGGGTCAGTCCGCCACCAGGCGCTGTGACAGGGCCGTGAGTCAGGCTCTGCTTGTCACTGACAAGCCACCAGCTGCCTGGCTTCCAGCTGACTCAGTGAACACAAGTGGCTGCCCCCTGCTTTCGCCCATCTCTGTTCCATCCTGAAGCGGAGAGGCGGGGCCGCTCCAGGGATGGTCAGGCAGCCATCCACTGTGGGTCACACCAGACCCAGAGCGTGCCAGGAGCTGGGAGCAGTTCCGCGCTGTGGCTGGCATGGCTGTGACTGAGGCAGACCGTCACCAGCTCCCGAACAGGTCAGCCACGAGCTTCCAGGGTCAGGAATCGAGGTACCCCCAGCAAGCTATTTGAACTGGGCCTGATCGCCCCACTCAACTCCCAAGTAAGACCATTCTCCACCTTCCCCTCAAGTTCAGGAGTCACACTGAGGAATTTACTCCTTTCAGAAAAAGGCCCTTAGCTTGGGTAGTTAAAAAAAAAATCAGTGGTTACTTCAGCTGCCTTCAAGGAATTCACCATGTAAGGACAAGGCCTTGAAACTCAACAGATGGCTTTTAGAAAACAAGGATAATCTTTGGATCTCTTGTTCTGTGCTGACACTGGCTCAGCCCTTCGGGGTGGGGAGCACAGGCCGGGGTGCCGGGCATTCTCCTGGGTCGTTTAAAGCCACGCGCTCTGTGTCAGCAAGACTGTGATTCAACCCTGGGCTTGCCAAGGCTCACTCGCAGAGGGGTGAAAACGCTCTGCAGGCACGCTTCAAAGTGAGGGCTCTCCGCCTCCTTGAGGGAAAACCAGGATGCACAGGAGGTGGGCCTTTCCAGCTGCCCAGGGGAGGGCCCTTCAGAGCCAGGACTGGGAGGTGTTCGGCTCTGTACCTGACTAAGTGAAAAACAGAGAAAACTGAGGCAAACCTGGTACAAACCCTAAAGCCCATACTTTCCCATGTAGGTACTCCCTGCTGTCTTGCTTCTTAGCAGAGGAGTGATGCTTGTGTGATCCTCATGAGGACGCCTGGACCTCCACAGAGGGATCTGATGGTCAGCCGGGGGCAAAGAGGTCCATGCACCCCAGGGGCTTGCCCTCCCTCTGCCTCCCTCCAAGAAGGTAGGGGGTGGGGCTTCCCTGGCGGTGCAGTGGTTAAGAATCCGCCTGCCAATGCAGGGGACACGGGTTCGAGCCCTGGTCCAGGAAGATCCCACATGCTGCGGAGCAACTCAGCCCACGTGCCACACAACTACTGCAGCCCGTGCTCCTAGAGCCCGTGCTCCACAACAAGAGAAGTCACCACAATGAGAAGCCCGCGCACCGCAATGAAGACTAGCCCCCGCTCGCCACAACCAGAGAAAAGCCTGTGTGCAGCAACGAAGACCCAAAGCAGCCAAAAATAAATAAATAAAATAAAATAAAATAAATTAAAAAAAAAAAAGGAGGTAGGGGGTGGCCAGGAACCCTTTGAGGGAATAAGGTCACTCTGTATCTGGGCTATTTCTGGAATGATAAAGTTTATGTTGGCTGAGACCCTCAAAAGAGTTTGTTTGTTTATTTTTAAAGCCCTCCCTTTTCTTTTTTTGGCCTTCTCTTTACTTAATCTAATTGTCAGCCTGGCTGGTGGAGACCAGAAGCCAGAGAGGGTGCAGCACTGAACAGAGGCGTCCAGTGGGGAGGAGGGCTCAGCAGCAAGGACTGGGTGAGGCCTGGCTACTGGACCCGCCCACAACGCAGGCAGATCCCGCTTGTCTCCCTGGACACTTGGTTCCCGAGTATCCACCTGGGAGATACCTATAGGGCAGGAGAGAACAGAGGCAGAGGGGAGACACCAAGGGCTGGGTCCGTGAGAGAAAAGAGTAGCAAAAACATCAACAGTGTATTAGACTGATCACATTCACGGCTAAAACCCCAGAGTTTCATGGATCAGAAATACAGCAGGGCGGGCTTCCCTGGTGGCGCAGTGGTTGAGAGTCCGCCTGCCGACGCAGGGGACACGGATTCGTGCCCCGGCCCGGGAAGATCCCACATGCCGCGGAGTGGCTGGGCCCGTGAGCCATGGCCGCTGAGCCTGCGCGTCCGGAGCCTGCGCGTCCGGAGCCTGTGCTCCGCAACCGGAGAGGCCACAACAGTGAGAGGCCCGCGTACCGCAAAAAAAAAAAAAAAAAAAAAAAATGAAATACAGCAGGGCATTGGTGCCCAGCTGGAGAATTCAAGTTTGCTCCGTGCTTGGGGCCAGGACATCCCCATGGCGGGATTTTTTACTTGCTGGGACCTTCCACAGAAGTGCGTTTTTACCATTCTCTGCACCATAAACAAAAACTCTCATGGCAAACAGCTTTCAAAGACAGTTATCTCTAAAAGGAAATTGGGCCTTTATTTTCCCACAAGAAGTTCAAGTAATTGTGATTACTCAGAACTCCCTCTCGACATTCTTGTGAACATTTGAGAAATTCCCAGTGCCTCCTGTTGCCCCGAGTGCGGGAAGCCAGGGATGTGCCGACTCACACAGCTGCACAAGTGCTTTCGGGCTCACAGCAACTGCATAAACTATTGCATAACTGCAATTGTGTGTGTGTGTGTGTGTGTGTGTGTGTGTGTGTGTGTGTGTGTGTTTACTTTGATAATGAGAGGAAATGCAAATTAAAAAGTATTGACTTCTGGTAAAATTATGCCTAGAAAATGACTTTCTACTCTCTATCCCTTCCATCCCCTCAGAAGTCCTCCTCTCAAGATCTCTCCTCCAGGAGCTTAGTTCCCAGAGCGGTTTTCCAGGATTGATAAGGGACATGTGACAATCTATGTCATTAGCTCCATGAGACCTCTACTTTGGGGCTCAAAGTTTCCCTCAGGCCCAGAGATGGATGCAGGGACTCTCCAGGCTAGAAGAGGCTCTGGCCACCAGCCAACTTTCAATGCAAAGTGCAACTCCAGTCACGAAAAAGACCTGGGAAGTCTTGCCAAATACTGAAGACTCTGCCAGAAAAGAATAAAGGGCCTGTATAAACCTGCCCCCATCTCCCCACGGAGAGAGCCAGCTCACCTTGGTTACCTACAACCATGGAGGATGAGCTTATGGGGGCTGGATGTGTCCAGGGGAGACTAATGAGGGATCCAGTAGCCTAAAGAAGGTGTCTGCTCACATGTCCACTACAGCATGCAGGAGGGAACAGCCACCGGACAGCAGAGAATTCCCAGGATTTTCTGCGTAGGTGTATGTTGATCACCCCTTTTGAAGAATTTCCTTTCCAGAAGTATGCTGTCTGTGAAGGGGGAAAAAGAAGTTGTGCCTAATTTCTATCAACAGAGAGAGGAAAATATCATCAATTGACAAAAAGTTTTAATGTCCTTAAAGTTATCATTGGAATCTGCTGCTGATGGAAACTCAGCAGTCTGCATGGGTCTCCAAAGCACCAGGTCTACACAAGTGGTTCCTGGTCCAAGGCCCAGCTGACTTTGCTCCCAGCATCTCCCTACTGGCACTGAGTACCAGTGGCTCCTGACCAGAACCCACAGGAGGATCCCAAACACAACTGTCCATCTTCCAAAGTCATGTGCTCTTCAGTGTCTCCCTAGAAGAGCTCACGGGTCTCAGACCAGATGGGCTCCCCCTGCTTTGCTCAGTGACACTGGTCACCTCAAACTGCATCATGCCAGCATGATGTCCCACAGAAAGAACTGTCCACACCAGCCCGATGCTGCTCAGGGAGCAGGTCTTCTGTGCCTTCTTAGCCTGGCTTCCCGCCCTCCAGGTGAATCTCCTTTCAACACAAACATATACAGCAAGTTTGTCCCTCCCTTCTCAAGCCCTTGATTGGATAAGTTTGGCCTTGTTAGTGAGGGATTCTCCATCCAAGCAGGCACAGTCTACTTGTGAAACAAAGTTTATGTTTAATTACACAAGTAGTAATAATCAGAACACTTCCCAAGGGTGGGGCTCTGTTCCAAGCATTTTGCTTCTATGAGTTTAATCCTTATAACAAGCCATTATTAGCCCTATTTTCCTTGAAAAAAAAAAAAAAAGGCTCACTGAGATTTAGTTATGTGCCTCTTATAGTCTTACACAGCTAAAAACTAATAAAGCCAGTGTCTACACTGACCATGGCCATACATACTGCAGCTAAGCAACACATTAATGCAGGTTCATTGTCTAAAAATAAATAAATAAACAAAAATCCAAAAACACAGAAATATCTGTAGTACAACTTATAGTCCCTCTTTGTCACCCCCTTCCAATTCTCCTTCCTCAGAGGTAACCACTCTGTGTATGGTGTGTGTACATCCTTCTAGATCTGTTTTCTTTCTCCCTTTGGCCACACTGTGCAGCTTGTGGGATCTTAGTTCCCTGACCAGAGATCAAATCCGGGCCCCTTGCAGTGGAAGCTTGGAGTTCTAACCACTGGACCACCCGGGAATTCCCTAGACTTGTGTCTATGTATGATATGGTCTTAGGATTTGGGAGGGACTTTAAATACGTAAACTACACTATATGTGCCATGCTTCTGACTTGTTAGTTTCACTTGTCCATATGCCTTAGAGGCCATGTCCCGTCAGTATATGTAAATCTGCCTCAGTCTTTCAAAGATTTTAAGGATTCCATGGTGTGGATGTACCATAAATTATTTATCTGGTCTCTGACTGATAGCCATTTAGGTTGTTTCTAACATTTTGCTTGAAAAACCATGGTGGGTTGAACATCCTTGTATATGCCTTTGTGAGAATGGCAGAGGGCAGAGTCCCAGAAGTGGAATTTCTAGATCAGGGTGACTCCTCATTTAACTTGTTGCTACTGCCTAATTGTTCTCCAGAAAGATTGGGGTGATTTTCACTGCCCCCCCCCGGGGTGCTTGAGAGCCCCTGTTTTTCCACATCCCCACCAATGCTACTGAATAGTAGCAATCCTTAACATTTTTACTAATCTGATGGATGGAGAGTGAGCTCTCCCTGTTTGAATTTGAATTGACTTTGCTTGAATTTATGTTTCTAGTTCCCTCATTGCTCATCGATTACTAGGCTTTGGATTTCTTTTATCTTGTGCAAGCAATTGCACCCTTCCCAATAATAATCTAAAATGACTCTTTAAAACTCTTTGCTGGGAATTCCCTGGCGGTCCAGTGGTTAGGAGTCCGAGATTTCATTGCCAAGGCCCAGGTTTGATTCCTGGTCAGGGAACTAAGATCCCATATGCCGCATGGCACAGCGGAAAAAAAACAAACAAAACTCTTTGCTGATCTCACCTTTGAGCTTAGGTAGATTCTGCTAAGAATTCTTATCAGTCCTTCCCAGCCCTGCCTGGAGCCACTCCAGGGCTCCTTTCTCAAGGATAAACTTCTGGAACACGTCAGCAATGCCTGCCTTAGGAAGGTTGTGGACTTTTGTCACAGTTGTGACTCAGCCCCGGTCCCTGAAGTCTGAGGCCATCCATGTGGGAAACAATAATTCCCTACGCGCAGACCCGCCGCCCACTCGGCCCTCATCCAGCAGAAGGGCTTTCTCTGCTTTCTTCCCACTGCTCCTTTGCTCCTACCCACCCCTTTACCTCATAATGCTGTTATAAAAATAAAACATCCACAGACACTAAACGATTCAAACAGCACAAAATTATCCCATGAGAATATATGGATATTCATTTAACCTCTGTGCCTCTTCAGAAACGTCTCTGCATAAACATAAATATATCTGCATATAGATTCTTTTTTTTTTAATGCAACTGGAAGACAACTATACATAGTATTCTGCACCTGGCCTTTTTTTAACAATGTATCTCCAAGAATTTTCCATGTCAGCATACACAGATCTTTTTCATTTTGAATGGTCTCTTAGTATGTCATTGATGTGTCATAATTTGTTTATCTAGTCCCCCATTAATAGACATTTGGGTTGTTTCCACTTTTTTGCCACTACAAACAACGCTACTGTGAACAACCTTGAACAAACATCCTTTTGGACGTGTGAAGATGTACGTGCAAGGTAAATTCCTAGAACTGTAACTGCAGGGTCAAACAAAAGAAATGTGTACTTGAATTTTGATAGATTTACCGTGCTAATTTACCCTCCCATCAAGAATCATGGAGAGAGGCTGTCTCCCTGTCCTCTCTCTCACTTGCATCAGGCTTTGTTAAGCTTATAAACCTTCTCCCATCTGATAGGTGAAAAGTGGTATCTCATTATAATCCTAATTTGCATTTCTCTAATTATGACTTAGGAATATGTTGCAAATGTTAAGAAGTCATTTGTATTTCTTTTTCTGTAAACTGCCTATTTATACCCTTTATGAACTATCCTATTTGTTTATAGGAGTTCTTCATAGATGAAGGAAATTAATATTTTTGTTATGTATGGGTGATAGTTTCCCCCAGTTTATTGTTTATCTTTTGTCTGTAGGCTTTTATTATATATAGGTTGCCCTTAGATTCTGGGTTTTCTGTCTTTTAGCAGGTTAGAATTTCACTACACACATTTGGGTGTGCAAGGATTGATTGTTGTACTTCCTCTTCAGTTCTACATTTCAGTCCCCATTCCCCTGAGGTGGCAGACACTTCATCGTGGCAATCCAGAGACTGGCTGGCCCCCTCATCCCCTCAAGCTTCCTGGGGTGGTCCTGAGTCCAGGTGGGCTTACTCAGGGGGAGGAGCTCACTGGATCCTCCAGGCCCGCTGTCCACCTGGCATGCACTGGAATTGCCTGCTGGTCGCTTCTTGTCCGCAAGGCCCTTCCGAGACTGTGCACTCCTCCCCGGCCCTGCAGCGCAGGCGGAGTGCACAGGACTCCTCCGCCACCCGCAGGGGTGCAGAGGCCCACTTGCCTGACGCCCCACTTGGCCCTTCCTGACCTGGACCTTTGCCACCTCCTCTTGGCTCATCCCAGAAAACAGGGTCAGGGCCCCTTCCTCAGGATCCCACCAACATCTACATACATCTCACGACCCCCCAACTCTGCTCCCAAGCCCAGGGACTCTGACAAGCCTCACTATTCCTCCTCAGACAGCTCCCCAGATCTATCTCTGTGCCTTCCATTCCTCTGAGGAGTTGGAATTCTGGACTTTAGAGATCAGGAAGACTTTTTATAGATTTTTCTCCTCTGTCGGCACATCCCTTCCCTGAGGCAGGCAGTGCACACAGAATGGCCAGAAATGTGTGTGTGTGTGTGTGTGTGTGTGTGTGTGTGTGTGTGGCTCCCAGGGAGAGGAGAGGCCAAAGCTCATCAGGAACTCCCAGGTAGAAAGCAGATGGGTGTTAAACCCTGTGCACTGCCCAAAACCCTGTGCACTGCCCAGAGCTGCAACGCTGGCTTCTCCAGACCCGTATCCTCTCAAGCCCCCAGCTGACACAGTCGGCGTTTCTGGGGTCCGTGTGCTGGCGGTGCCCCTTCTCTGGAAGCCCTTTGTGGGCGGGGGTGGCCCGTCTTACTCTCCTTGGTGTCATCCCACCCCATGGGCCTCACACATCTGGGCACTTGGCCAGGTGCGCGGCGCTGAAGCACAGTTGTAACAGGCCAGGCTGTTGTTGTCCTGGGGGTTCTCCAAAAAGGCCACACGGGTGGGGCACCAGTGAGGGGGGTATTTAGGGTGTCCCCCCAAATGGCTTTCTCCTAAAGGCTTTCCTCAGCTGAGCTCCAAGGAACCAGGGGAAGCAGGTTTTCTCCAGAGAGCTCTATCTGCGGATAAGGCCTCCCCACTCGTTTGTCTCCCCAGCCTCCATCCCTGCTATGTTGGGGTTTCTTCAGGCCAGGGGGCTGGACAGTGTAAAGTGACCTCAGACCTGGGGTCTTCAGGAAGGGCAGCTGTAGGGGCGGAGCTTTAGGGAAGGTACCAGGCACCAAGCTTCATTGAACACAATTGACTTCACTCCTCATAGGGCTTTCATCTCATCCCTACCGCACCCCTGGCACCACCTTTACTTTGCCTCCAGCCAAATCAAAGCTCCATCTATAATCCTTCTGGTCATAAGGGACAAGGTCCTTTCTGCAAGGTCCCACATTTCCTGAAAGTGGAGATTGCAATAAAATCCAGCCACCTGCCCACGAGAGGGTCCTCCCCACCCAGGACCCCCTCTCCCTGCCCCTCTTTCTCTTTCCCAGGCAGGGCCAGCTCTCAGGACAGTGCAAACACGTCCTCAGTTGGTCTCCAGTCCTCCCGCCATTTCTGCTTGTCCCCTCCAGCATCCTCCATGAGCTCAGCTGCAACCTGACCTAGTTTTGCTGGCTCCCTTATGCGACCTCAATGCCGGTTACCCACCGAGGCCAAGGCCTTGCTGCCTGTAGATCTTCTATGTTAATTAATCCTCTCCTCAGTAGCATCTCTTTTTTTCTTTGGCTGTGCCGCGCGACATGTAGGATCTTAGTTCCCCAACCAGGGATCAAAGCTGTGGCCCCTGCAATGGGAGTGCAGAGTCTTAACCACTGGGCCACCAGGGAAGTCCCTCGGTAGCACCTCTGAGCAGCACCATCCACCAGCATGCTTGTCTTAGGGCTGAAGGCCCAAATCACAGGGAAATGCAGGCATCAGTGGAGCCCCACCTCTGGAATTGACCGGATGGTCTCTTGACCTCCCTGGGCCTCTTTCTTCATCAGTAAAGTGGTGAAAAATACAGTACTTATCTCACAGGGTGGTGAGAGCTCCATGGGTGACACGTGGGTGTTTATAAAACGCACGCTATTATTCATAGCATTTTGTGAAGAGCATTATTCATTGTAAGTGATCTTGCCCCATCCATCTAGCATAAATCTTGAGTCATATTTTTTTTGGAGGGGAGGGGGGTTTTCTCTACATTTTCTTCTTCTTTTTTCTGCAATTCTTTTTTAAAAATATTTATTTATTTGGCTGCGCAGGGTCTTATTTGCAGCACGTGGGATCTTTGTTATGGCACGCGGGATCTTTTAGTTGCAGCATGTGGGATCTTTTTTTTTTAGTTGCGGCATGCGGAATCTTTAGTTGCTGCCGCATGCTGTTCACATGCCGTGAACACTTAGCTGCGGCCTGTGGGACCTAGTTCCCTGACCGGGAATGGGACCCAGGCCCCCTGCATTGGGAGCGTGGAGTCTTAGCCACTGGACCATGAGGGAAGTCCCCTACAACTCTTTTTTTTTAATTAGAAGGTGGGGTAGTGGTGGCAGTGTTAGAGAGGAAAAACAGTATAGGGTGTGGATGGAAAGATAAATAGGCTATCGGGCAGCCTCGCCTCACAAAGTAGGTGCCAGCAAATTCAGCTGGGACTGAATAAAGTTTGGAAACCTAGTGCTGAGCTCCTGGCCTCTGAGGACATGGACACGAGCCAGCCCCCCACCCCCACCCCGCAGGTGCAGTGTGGGCACTCCCCAGGAGCCTGCATTAGGAAGGCACCCCCATGGACGCCATGGGGCCATCCATGCCCTCTTCCATTACCTTATGTCCCTGGTTTGTCACATCTGGAACACAGGCCACCAGGGAGGGTACTGGGCCCAGGAGACATGTGCTGGCGTCACGGCAGAGCCAGGGGTGAAGGATCAGGTCGTCTCCTGAGAGGGGACAGCAAGCCGGAAGCCCAGAGGACTGGAAGGCCCTTAAGTCACAGTGGTGGTTCGTTTCCCCGTGGGGAAGCAGAGCAGGAGATGCAAGGTCATGAACTGGGAGAGGAAACAGGAGGTTAGAAGCAAACCATAGCTATCGGCACTGCAAAAGATTGAAAACACGCTCAGTTTCTATCAGTGTGGGGAGGGCTAAACCCACAGGGAATATCCATACAAGGGAAGGCTGAGCAGAAAGATGAGAAATTGCATTATGTATTGATGTGAAATAATATCCAAGATATATTATTAAGTGAAAAAAGCAAGATGCAGATAGTGTATAAAATAAGCTATCATTTGTGGTTTTATTTATATTATTTGCTTGACTACGCATAAAATGTCTCTGGAAGGAGTCACAAAAAAACATTTTAGGAAGTTTGTGTTTAATGGTGATGGGGTTCAGGGCAGGCCACCCCCAAATATGATACTTTGGCATATTGATTATTTTGAATTAAAGTTACTTAAGAAATAGCTGGTACAAGAAGGACAGGTACTCTGACCTTCCTCTGTCCCTCTGGAAGCAGGAAAAAAAAAATCTCCCATCTTGGAGATTTTATGCCTACTTTGGTCATTTCTTTGGGTCTCATATCTTTGGGGCCCTGGTACATACAAAATTAAATTAAAGTAGTTTTTCTCCTGTTAATCTCTCTTTCATTAAAGAAGTGTCTCAGAACTTCCCTTGTGGCGCAGTGGTTAAGAACCCACCTGCCAGTGCAGGGGACACAGTTTCGAGCTGTGGTCCGGGAAGATCCCACGTGCCACGGAGCAACTAAGCCCATGTGCCGCAATTACTGAGCCTGTGCTCTAGAGCCCGCGAGCCACAACTACTGAGCTTGCGTGCCACAACCACTGAAACCCACAAGCCTAGAGCCCATGCTCCGCAGCAAGAGAAGCCCACGCGCCACAACAAAGAGTAGACCCCGCTCGCCACAACTAGAGAAAGCCTGCGCACAGCAACAATGACCCAATGCAGCCAAAAATAAATAAATATATTTAAAAAAAAAAAAGAGTTTGTCTCAGCCAAGAACCTAGAAGGGTAGAGGAAAAAATTATTTTCCTTCCTTACAATGGGTACAGAGTTTCAGATGGGGAAGATGAAAAAGTTCTGAAGATGCGTGGTGGTGATAATATGAATTCACTTAATGCCACAGAACTGCAGTTTTAAGTGTACATACTTAAAACTGATTACAATGGTAAATTTTATATTACATTTAACCACAATTTTAAAAACCCCAAACATTTCATTAGTTGCCTGTGGGGAGAACGGAGTGTTCAAGAAAGAGAGGAAGGGAGACTTCCCTGTACATCCTTTTGTAACCATAGAAATCTTTTCAAAACATAAGTAAGAAAGGAACTTCCTTGGCGGTCCAGTGGTTAAGACTCCCCACTTCCAGTGCAAGGGACACTGGTTCGATCCCCAGGCCAGGGACTAAGGTCCTGCATGCTGTACGGTGCAGCCAAAAAAAAAAAAAGAAGAAGAAGAAGAAAAATTAAAAATAAAAGAAGCAGCAAACTGATAGGGCCCAAGGGCAAGCTAAGCCTTACAGGAGGGCTGGCTGAGAGGCAGTGCAGGGTGGTAGCTGGTTCACTGACAGCGGAACTATTTACAAAGATTTAACAGGGGAAGGAGAGCACAGGGGTTGGAGCAGCACCTGGACTCAATAGCAGTGGTGCTCGGCGATCGTACGACTTACTGGAATCAAGGAGAAAATCGGTGGAAGAGGCTGCCTGACAGAGGCTGTGACCTTCCTTCCAGGGTCACAGCCAGTGTGGGTGACCGTGCAGGGAGGGCATCAGGGGAATTAATACAGATGTCTCTCTTCTCCCTCCCTTTGATCTCTCCTGGGCTCCCCACTGGCCAACACTGAAAGGCAGCCAGAGGGCAGGGGCGCTGGCCCGGGCAGGATTGGTCACAGGGGTCAGCCTCCTCCAGACACAGAACCGGGTGGAAAAGGGTGGGGAGAGCATCTGGAGGGACAAAGGGACAATCTCGGAGACAGCTTGCAAGCTGAGGAGCCAGCCTGCCTGGGCGTGTAGCCCAGCTACGTCATTCACTACCTGGGCATCACGAGGTAATAATCGTACCAATGCTAGAAGCTGCTATGAGAATTAAATTTGTTAATATTGACGTAAAGTGCTTAGAATGGTGCCGGGCACAGGGTAAGCACTGTACACGTGAAATGACTGTTACTTATTACAGCCTGCTGTGTGAGGCCTAAAGCTTTCCCTGGCTCCTACCAAGGAAGGATGCAATGGAGCAGGGCTGTTCTCAGGGGCAGGAGGCGGAACCAGCAGTGAGTGTCCGGGTGAGGCCGGCATCTGGGAGTAACAGCAATACCGATTCACTGAGCACCTCTGTCAGCACTGTGCTGGGCCTGCTGTGTCCACTGTCATGAAACCCTCACCACACGTGCCAGCTGGGTGCCAGCTGGGTGGAATCATTGCTCCTTACAAAGGGGGAAAACTAAAGCTTGGAGGGGAAGCCCCTGCCCAAGGGCTCACAGCTAATGAAAACCTTCCTCCCAGCTGGGCTCTCAGTGCTACACTCCCCCCAGTTGCTAAGTGTTCCTGTAGCAAATCAGTCCGTGAAAGATTTACAAGTTGTAATATCAGAATTCAGGCCAGTGGGACTTCCCTGGCGGTCCAGTGGGTAAGACTCCACGTTCCCAATGCAGGGGGTCTGGGTTCCATCCCTGGTTGGGGAACTAGATCCCTCATGCATGCCACAACTAAGAGTTTGCAGGCCGCAACGATGATCCTGCGTGCTGCAACTAAGACCCGGCACAGCCAAAATAAATAAATAAATATTTAAAAAAAAAAAAAAAGGAATTTAGAACAGCCACTATTTCCAGAATCTCTCTGAGCTTACCAGGCACTTATACAAAGGGTAAATTCTCGTTCAAAAAAATTATGGTCAATTAAAAGAGTTGATGAAAAGTGTCTGAAATGTCAAATTTTTAACTTTAAAATGCAAATTTAAAGAGGATTGCAGGCAATTTTATGAAAAATTATAAGCCCATGTTGAAAGTAATGCATTTTTTCAGAAAAATACCAGTGGCATGGTATTTAGAGACAGATATAGTTAAAGTACAGGAATAATATTAAAGTGATGAAAGTACCAAGAATAATTTTTCTTTCATTATTTTAAAATACTGGGATAACCAATATAAACAAGTTTTCTATTTGCTTGAATGTACATGTTATCTTTTAAAATAATTTTATTTTTGAAGTTTTAAAATATATTATTTTATAAACACACAAATATAATAAACCCAATTTCTCAGTCAATACTTAACAAATTTTTAAAGTCCGAGGCCACCTCACATGTGGATGAGTGTGTGGGCCCCTCCTTGCCCCCTGCCCCACCACTTCACAAGAGGAAAGATGATTTTCATCCCTGTTCATGGTAAATATAAATGGACGAATGAGTGGAGGGAAGATTGATATATTTGAAGGACAAATAGACCTAGGTAGAGTGGTGATGAGGTTGGAAAGACAGTTTGGGTTACACGGGAAAGGCTTTGACCGGAGGCTGAAGAGAGGATTTTACCCAAGAAGCAGTACAGAGGCAGAAAAGTGATGTGACGCCACCAGACTGCAAGGAAGATTTATCTCACAAAGGGATGAAGAGAGGTTAGAGAAGGAACTGGTGTCAGGGTCACTATTTGGGGGCTCGAGGTGACAGAGGCTTTATTTTTGGTTTTTTTTTTTAATTTTAATTTTTGGCCACACCATGCAGCTGGTGGGATCTTAGTTCCCTGTCCAGGGATAGAACCCAGGCCCTCGGCAGTGAGAGTGCAGAGTCCTAACCACTGGACCGCCAGGGAATTCCTGACAGCATCTTTAGAAGGGCCTAGAAAGGGAGGCAAGGAAGCCTGAGAGGTGGAAAGGGGACTGGCAGGATCTGGCGGGTGCCCAAGTTGGGGACCTGGGAGAGGGAGGGGTAGGGGGTAAGCCGGCCCCCTTGGCAGTACCAGGGAAGTCAGGATGTGGGGAGGAAGCCTTTTCTCTCTGCATTTCCGTTAAGCCACCTGCTTCCTGAGGGAGGGGGGCGGGTTGCGATTCACCCTCAGGTCACGTCTGAGGCCATCTGAGGCCTCACCCACGTCTGAGGCCGACGTCTCCCCAGTGCCCAGAATGGGGGACACCAAGGCCACAGCACCATCACCTCCTCTGATCCTGGTCCTGTTTCCAGGGTGAGGTTCTGCCCCTCTTGAGATGGGGAGCAATTGAGCCCTTTCTTACAGTCCCAAGACTTCTCCCAAGCAGGCAGTCCCTGGCCAGAACATCCGTCCAGACGTGGTTCTGTACCCATCAGTGTATTTTCAGGGTACCCCGTGGATAACTTCTCAACCACCTGCGACCGTCCTGCTGTGCTGAATCCTCAGGGCCTGAGACAGCACTAGGAATCACCTAGAGATGATTCTAGATCATCTCGATCATCTCTCCCTTGCCCTCTCCAGTCCTGCCTTGAGTGTCAAAGTTCAAATAAAACTGGACATCAGGGAGAAGTAAGACAAACCACAGAGGAAGTGGCCGCCCCGCCCACTTGTGCTCACGGAAGGCATGCTGGGAAAGAGGCCAAGGGACCACACACCAGACACTTCTGTTTCTTGGCTGCAAGGCCAGTGCTGGGCAGATGGGATCTTTATCAGCAAGAATGTAGATCAAGTGGTCAGCAGCCCCTTCCAGCATCACGTGGATGATTTATGATACCTGTGAGCATCAGGCTGCTCCTTAGGCCTTGGTAAGAGAAGGAAGGTCCAGGGGTCGAGCCCCTTGCCTGAGGCAGCCTCAGCAGAAATCTCAGTGAGCAGAACAGAAGAGGTCTCTGCCCTTCTGGAACTCACATTCCTGTGGTAGAAGATACATGGTAAACAAGTATCTAAGATAATTTGAAATGGTGGTGTGCGCAATGACAGAAATGAAAAGCGTGCAGGGAGTCCTTAGAAATCATGGTCAAGGAATTACTATTTCACTTGAAGGAGACGGAGGCATCCGCCGTGTAAGAAGCTAGGGAAAGTCATCCAGGCAGGGGGAACAGAGAGGGCAAAGGCCCT